CTGCAGCGAGGCAATCTTAAGATCCTCTGGTATCGATCCAGTCGATAGCGATAGATTGATTATTGTTTTGAATACCGGGACAAGAGCCGAATAGCAACTTCGCTTTATGGTTGCTGGTAGGGGATCAAGTTTAAAAGCCTTGATTGTGGAATTTCTGATCAGCTTCAAGACGTCCTCATCAGTGACCAAATCAAACTCACTTAACCGTGACAGGCAGGTGGGCTTGGCCAGACCAGGGGAGTGAACAAGTCCACTTTTCCTAAGTACAAGCTCTTCAGGAATCCTTTCTATCTTGGCAGTGAAAAAATCTGCAAAAGCATTTGCAAGTTGTTGATCATTATCGGCGGAAGGATAATGCTTCTCAGTTTGCCTTTGCAGCAGCTTATCTACAGATCGAAAGAGGAGCCTGGTGTCATGGGCGTTGTCCTGGATAACCGGCGAATAATAGAATTCCTTGGCTTTGTATAGCATTGTATTCACAACACTACATTGCTCTATGTTGCTCAATCAGTCCGACTCAAGACGGCTAGAACGCCACGTGCCCGGCTCTAACCTGCATCGAGTATATTTTCCACTTGCCATGTTTCAGCTTGTAAGCTGCAACCATTCTCTTGCCATTAGTTGGCAGAAAACATATACTCAAAAACTGCCAGAACTGTGTTCAGTCACCTTAACTATAACCTGCGTAGCAGGTGCTTGGAAGTAATGGGCTTAAGAAAGAACGGGACGCGCGTGGGAAACACGCCGCTTCCTCTCCCCTCAAGTGTCTCTTTCGCGCGCCTCTTTCTCTCCTGCGCCGTTACTTCCAAACGCCTGCTACGCAGGCTACCTTATTTATAACTATATATAATTAACCTTTGGCCGCAATTAATCGGCCATTGGCAGCCTTGTATTCATCATCAATAGGAAACAAGCGCAATCCCAACTGTAAACGCTTACTGTCTAAAACAGTAGTGGTAGCGGTAGTGAATTGTTTCGGTAAAAGTACGTTCCTTAAATGAAAATATATATTATATACAGCTTTTAATTTCCTTGCGCTGACACGGAAAGTTGTCCGGTATATTGTGAAGACTGTGAAAACCCCCGCTATCCAATATGTAACTCACTCTCCACTCTAGGGATCGGGGCCGCGCAGTTTCGCTTCGTTACAGAAATCGCGCCGAAAATAAATCGCTGTTCTCAGGTGTGAACAGAAGCCCTATCCCGTATGGTTTTCGCGCCGGCGCAAAAGCTATCCGGTACAGTAATATGGACATTAAAGCCAAACTTACGCCGTCTGCCGGACAAGTATAATCCGATGCAGTAACTGCCCTGAACAAATGCGTCTGACTTTGTGTCCTTTGGCCACTCGATACCAAAATATAGCCATTTCAAAACCAAATTCACGGCACTTAAGAGACTGTTCCATGCTGATGCGCATGTTAACCATGTGAAGTTGTTTCCTGCCGCATCTCGCTGGATGATTTCTTGTTTGGCTGCGCTTGGATTTTTCCATGACTTGTTAATCATGATCAGTTTGTGGTTGGTTTGTATCAACTATGTCCATTTGTTGCTCCTCGTCTGTTTCCGACTTTAGAGAAGAGAGACAAACCGTCGTTGACTTATATTAGCCTAAAAAACAGCCAACGTTTTAGACTCGTTTAGCGTTTTCCCTCGAAATATGATGTCTGTCTCAGAACGAACGCTTATATTCTATCAAAATGCAAGGTCGCTTGCAACTCATTAAAAGCCGTCGTTTACGTTGTGAAACTCTAGCACCTTTAATTTGCTTCTGTTTTTATATTGCATTTCTTTACTTTGCTACGAACTTACTTCATTTGCTTCCAAAGTCTTGAACAACAGTAAAGCGTCGATGGAACGGTTCTTCAGCGACGTTGATTCCTGCATTTGAAGGCAATAACAAGCTCACAAATATTTTAAATTTATTTCGTAAACCGCTCAAATGCGGCTGATCACTATAAACCGTGTGAAAGTGTGTGCTTATACTTAAATTGAGCCTTAAAATCCCACGGCTACAACTAGATTAATTACAACAAAGCTATTTAAAAAGCTTTGAAAAGTGTTTTAAACTTTGTGGAAACAAATAACGGAACTCGACGTCGTGAGTAACTTTGATTATGCGCGCCAGAATCGTTTTCGATCCTTAAAAACAAGTAACCAAGGAAACAAAATCATCCAAACAAATTTTCAGTTTCAACTGGTTGAGGCCAAGAAGAGAAAATTTGACGACAACCAGATGAATTCAATCCTATACAAATCTCTAACCTACTTTTGAATGAAAAGTTGACGCAGTAGTTTAATAACTTAAAGGCAAAAGCAAAGTTAGTCTGGGAAAATAAGGATTTTGTGCGTGCCCTGTAGTTTTGCTACAAGCTTACGCCATCGAGGAAAATAACGCGAAGAGAGTAGATGTGAAAATAACACAAGTTTCACCTTCCTCGCTGAAATTTCCTGAAGCAGTCGAAGTTCCTAACATTGTTAGAAGGAAAATTATGCAGATTAAAAACGTTTTCATTTTGTCAAGAATAACTTTTCTCTTTCCAAAGCGCAACACGACTAAACTCGTTTAGCGACGTGGAACGATAAAAAACCCGATGTCATAAAGACCAAATAGAACGTTTTCCAACCTCCTATATATTGCATTACATTGACATCAATTGCAACTGTTCATTTTGTTAATAACAATGACAAGTGAAACGTTACTCTAAAGGCTACATTGACGAGTTATCCGGATTCGTCAAGAATATGGAAACTTACCGGAGTCGTTATATCGTTTACATGCAGATCGCCGACGCGGGGCACTGCCTGACCTTATTTGGCCCTATAAGTGGGTTTGTACCGCTGAACAGGGTATGGTTTTCTTTCACAATCTTGAGTGTTAAACAAGGTATACTTAAATTATCGTTCTTGAAAATTAAACTAAATTATGATAATATTTTGTTCTAATTATCTAACTGAGGGAGCCCATTCCTTATAAGCCCGGTGGCTTCTCTTGGGCGTCCTCGCCATGAGAGTTTAAATAATTAGATTTTTTTTTGCTTTGTATAACTTATGGCAAACAAAACAATAAACAATAAACAATGAAAGGAGTGTCTTTTTGGACCGGAAGCCTTGCCAGAGAATTAATGCGACGGTTCGCGATGAGTTCAGTCTATGTACTACCAACAATTTTTATTCCAAGACAACTAATTTCATAATGTTATTTTGAAAAATATTTCTATTCTGTATGCAAGAAAAAGAACGAATTAGGGTCATAAAGTAGGGTCTCTTTTGTTAAACAGGGTTGCAAAATGAACGATTTTTGTCTTTAACCGGGGTCAAGGATTGAAGGCGCGCCTCGGCGGCACACATCTACCAAAACGTCCCTTGAATACCTCACGGAACAGAGTGTCTCAATGGGCGGTAGATTTGACGATTGACGGTTAATTTTTACTAATTTTTATGAGTGACGAATTACGTGGGATAAAACAAGAATTATACGCTAAAAGCTTTCAGGTAAATGACATACGTGAAAACCTATCTCCCTACGTTGAAAACGCACGTCGTAAACCTCAAACGTGACGCGAAAGACTTGTCACGTGACCTCCAGCGGTTAGAGGTTCGCGGTAAACTCGGATCTAAAACTCTCTAATGTCTGTTTTTAGACACCCCTTATGTGCCTTGCAATAAAGAATGCAACAGAAAAAGTTTTCTCTTAGGCACTATTCCAGTCCATATAACTTTTATCGGTATAGAAGTGACGAAGTTTTTACTTTGACTCTTTTTTATACATGTAGCGGAAAATTTAGTTTTTCTTTTTTACACTGTCACATCTCCAGTTTAATCAGAACGTTGTTACAATTTGCGTTCAAAACTTGTTACATTTTTTGTTAAAACTGTTTTGCATTTTGCATTAAAGGGTTTTACATTACGAGTTCGTTACATTTTTCTTCAGATATTTTCAAATTTCGCGTTAATTGGCGCCATAATCTTCGTCTTTTCGCATTTTCCCGACTAACGACTTGTCTAACATTAAAAAAATAACAAAAAAAGCGGGGGAGGAACAAAAATCAGCTCCCATAGGGTTGGACCTCAGCTTTGCAAGCTGAAGACGTTTTACAAACAAGCAATGTTAAGTAACAATGGGGCGAAAGGAACCATTCTAAATTTCATTTTATTCATCATTTTTTCGTTTATGCACAGTTGTCACTCAGTTTCAAGGGACGAAATGCAGTGCATTTTCTTTATAGACAAAGTTTTTAATTGTTTTTTGTTTTAGGTAAACTGAAATCATATGCTCCTGGTAAAACGTAGTCTGTTTGCCTATGGTACTCAAGTGATTTTGTTTGCTTTGTATCCTTTTTGAATTATCTTTTCAGACAAGATGCAAGACCTACGCGAAGCAAACTCGACAAGGCGGACCTCTGAAAATTTCCAAAGGCAGTTAAGAGATGAGCAGCAACGCGAAGAGACTTTACAAAGACAGTTCAGGAAGCTTCAGGAACGGGAACAGAGCGCTCAAAGGCATCTTACGGAGTCGCGGTAGCGTGAACAAAATTTGCAGCGGCAACTCAGAGAGCTTCAGGAACGGGAACAAAGCTCTCAAAGGTAGCTTACGGAGTCACGGCAACGTGAACAAAATTTGCAGCGGCAACTCATAGAGGTTCAAGAACAGGAACAAAATTCTCAAAGGCAGCTAACGGAGTTTCAGCAACTTGAAGAAAATTCACAGAGGCAATTGAGGGAGACAAGACAGCAGTTGAGAAATTGCCGAGGACAAGTTTCTGAACTACAGTTAAGTCTTTTAACAGCTCAGCAAACAGTAAGTGAATTGCGCAGCCAAGAAGCACTTGACTGGGTTATTCCCCGGGACGAAATTCAAATCACAGATAAATACCTTTGGAGGGGAGGATGGGGAAGTGTCAATGAGGGAACGTATTGTGGCTGTACTGTAGCAGTGAAACAGATCCATGAGTTGATTCTTTCAGTCTCCTCATAACATAAATCTGTTTGAAAGAGAAATGAATATCGTTTCTAAATGCCGCCATCCTCATTTACTACAGTTTAACGGCGCCACCAATGATGAGGGAAACCCTCTGTTTGTGACCGAGCTGATGGAGAAAAGTCTGCGCACTTTGTTGGACCAGCGGCAACTCTCCGAGACAGAAATAGCCGTCATTTCTCAGGATGTAGCACGTGCCCTGAACTACCTTCATCAAAAGAAACCAGAGCCTATCATTCATCGTGACGTCAGCAGTGCTAATGTGTTGGTATGGCGACAAGGTGACCAATGGAGAGGCAAAGTGTCAGATTATGGCACTGCTAATTTTATACAGCAGACCATGACAGTGGCTCCTGGAGCTATGATTTACAGCGCACCTGAAGCACTTACATCAAACCAAACCGTCAAGGTAAGTTTTAGTCTCTGTTCAAGACTGTTATCATTGGCATAATTATTAATAAGTGACCCTTACCCAAACCTCTTTCCATACATCGTATATCGGTCGTGGTATCCTCTTTCCATTGTTATCGTCGGGGCTTACGGAAGAAGCAGTCGCGTGAGGTTTTTGGCTTTATAATGGCACTGTGTAAAGTTATGTTTTGCTGTTGGTTTTTTTTTTCAAGCGGAGTAGAAAACTGTGTCTGTTTAGCCTCTCGAGTTATGCAACGGACAATTTTATTGCAAAGTGTCCTGTTGAATTTCTCGTTTTATAAGATACATGTATATCTGTTCAAAATTAGTCAAATATCAGCCATTTTTGGCAGTGATTTTGCCACTACAGTGCATATTTAGCTCCTTGTTTAAAATTAACCAAATCCATCGGTGTGCACCGAAATCTGGTCTTAATTGTGCTCTTTAGCGGCGAAATTTCAATCATCCCTTCTATGAGCTCCCTCGGGCTCTGACCGCATTTTCGCGCGCTCGAATTCTCCTCCCTCCCTACCCTTGTAAGTTATCAGTCAACCTCATTTAGACCATCTCTTTAGTGAATTGGTTCTGCGTTGAGTCACTACAACATGCAGATTATATAAATAACGAGACGCCTAAAAGTTGTCCCCGTGCGAATGCATTGGTGTATACAGGCATAAAATGCCTTTTGATAGAGGTTGGAAAAATGTTATTTGAAAAGGGTTTTTTCTGTCTGCCTACAGTCCCCGTATAATCGCTATTTTTGCTCTAAATTCCGCTCATAGGTTCTCAAATTAAAAAGCTTTTATACCTCTAAATGGAACTCAGTGTTTATCGGCAACCGTAATTTTCCTGTTTGTCTCAGCAAACTCAGTTCGGCTGTGATGAACAACTGCCCCGAATAATGTCCCTGCAATGAAAACGTAGCTTGCGTTGCAGACGTAACGTAACCAAACCGCGGCAAGAAACGTCTGCGAAACAGCGCCCAAATTCTTTGCTCTAGGCCACCCGTACCAGGATTTTAGTACACGCCAAGACTGGCCTGTTAGAGAAGCCATTGCCAATTCACCAATCATATTGAAAGGAAGTTCAAAACACACTTTCGGTAACTCGTTGAATCCCGTAGGGGTCCAGAAAAAGAATCTCACCGCTGCTTTGCAGACGTTACTAACCGGGGTTAGATTACGTCGCCGTTTTAGGCTATGAAAACCAAACCTCGTAACTGCAGCAGGATTAGCTCAGTCAGTAAAGCGCTTGACTGCAGAGCGGACGGTCGCGAGTTTGATTCCCCGAGTCGCACCAATGTTCAGGGTCTTAGAAACGAAGGTACTCCCTTTGCACTGCAAGCGGCTAGACCTTCGCGTAAAATGGCCACGTAAAATGGCGATCTTGTCTCCATTTGGAGACGTCAAAATAGTGTCCCCAATTAGTTCTTCGTGCTGAATACATTGACACTCAAATAAAGTGCATTTTTTAACAATATTGAATTCCTCAAATTATGTTTTATTGTCGTTAGGTTGATGTCTACAGCTTTGGTGCTCTTCTTTGCGAAATGTGCATCCGACAACTTCTAGATCCTCAAAGGCGTAACGAACAAGTGGTGCTTGTAACGAACGGTGTGTTTCGTGGTCTGGTGCGGCGATGCATGCAAAGAGAGCCTGGGGCGAGACCAACCATGCAGGAGATAATCGATGAACTGAAGGAATTCGATCCTATCTCTTAATTGTAAAATGAACGGTATGCAACATGATTGAAAATTCGCAGTTTTTAGGAACTTCCTGCTGTTATTCGGGCTCGTAATTTTAAATTACTGGCCTGATGACTCCCTGAATTGTACTCAACTCAGTCCTATTATCATTACTTATTTGTATTGTTTTAGTCTCGAATTTTTATGAAAGAATACGTAATTACATAACAGTGAGGTATGAATAGTGGAAAACATGATAGAATTTTCATCCAGACAAAAAGGTAATTGTAGTTAAAAACGTGCAATACTGAAACAAAGTACTAACTAGGTAGTTGTAAGAGGAATACAATTTAATAAATTACTTAGGTATCAATATTTGTAGTTAATATTTTAGCGTAAAATTGTTGGCTATTTGTCCTTTTTGCGAAGGACTTGCTTTTATATTTTAGAAAATAGGTCGCGGAATAATTGTCTTTTGAAGATTTAAGATTTTTTCGGAATCGTGCGATTTTCGAGTGGCACAGCCGTGACCAGGTAATTATACTAGTAGTCTGCTTAGCTGACGAAGTTTGTCAGTGTTGCGCACGACTGTTAACAAGGACCCGTGAAATGAATTTGGCTATAAAGTGAAAAGAAAAATGAGGGAATTCCTAAGTCGCGAACTCGCGATCGGGCAATGTGATCCCGCCAGCAACGCTTTCTTCAGCAGTAACAAGAACAGTAGTGTTTACATTAACAAGCCTCAATACTTAACGAGCAAGTTTACCAAGCGCTCAAATATACATACTCGTAACACTCGTACACGGAACTCTTTGCAGATTCCGCTATACAGAACGGCTATAGGCCAGCGCACATTTTCCTACAGAGGGGCCTACACATGGAATAACTTGCATAATGAACTCAGGCAAAGTGCCTCATTGGCATCTTTCAAGCGCACACTATAGAGGCAGACATTTCCTTCATAAGCTCTAGAATTTAGTAGAATACCATCATAAATTGTGATTTCGAGTTTTTATTGTCATTTTTGCTTTTATAAATTGTAAATCGTTTGTAAATAGTTCCTGAAAAACCTCACGAGGATGTTACTATTAAAGTTATTATTATATCCAGACTACAGATCAAAGCAACGCGCGAGCCCGCAAAATTTACTATTTGTTAGGTAACCTTTCTTGCTTGTTTTTCTGTAGAATTGACCAGTTCTAACGAGGAATGGGGAGGATGGCCTACAAAGAGAAGGGGAAAGTAGCGATAGAAATTTCAATTATCTATCATTGATCAATTGGAGCAATTTTTTTATGGTAACTTTATGGTAACTGTACTTTCGTCAGTAGAACATCCATGCAGTGACTGAAGCATGTGATTGAAAAAAAAAAAAACTCTTTCCCCCAGTACGACCCATCTCCGCATAAAACAATTGACCGGGGAGTTTAAAGTTCAGACTTATACAGCTATTTCTAGAAAGGTTGTCGGAAAAAATGTGCACGCGACAATCCCGAAAGGTAATATGGGATACGATCAATACACTGTTCCTGACACTGTAGCTGTCGAACCTACTTTTGATGCTTTCCTTCAGCACTCGCAAACATACGTCCATGGCCTCTCGTGCCTGCATTCTCTCAAATTTCTTTGAAGAACAGTGAACTCAAAACCGCCCATAATACCTTTCGGGATTGTCGCGTGCATTTTTTCCTACAACCTTTTTCGAAATAGCTGTATACTTATGACATTCTGTTGTCAACAAAGTTTTCTGCTGCCGTGTTTATAGTCCGGCGGCTTAGCTAGAAATTTTAAGTGAATTGTGCTCTTTTAGATACAAGCGTGAAATTTGCCACACTGATAGTTGTCACCAATACAAGCAATTTCAGATACAGTGCCAAGCCGGAATTACGTCGGTTTCAACAGAAACCGCAATTAATTAAAATTAATAAAAAGTTAATGAATTAAATTCATTTGAATTATTTGTCCTAGTTTATCAAGACATAGTATCATCAGTCAACCAACCTGTTTACCACGTACATCTTGTTTATAACACGCTATTGCACCTCAACTATGCGATGCCATGGCAACGGTAAACAAAGGAAAACTAAAAATACAACGACTGAATAAAATTAGTGTGCCTTAAGTTGGTTTGATCTTTATATTTATTACAACTTTTATCTTTGCACATAGCTTCATTACCTAATTGATTTCACATTTTCGTTACGGAATAAACTTGAGGTGATTCTCTAGTTTTGCCGCTGTACATCCCTCATTGCGTATAACAAGATGACCGCCCCATGAAAAAGAGCTTCGGCAGAAACATGATTAAATTGACGTCGATCGAAGAGAAAAGTCATTGGAATTTTCCATAGCAGTTTTTTTCTGGCTGAGATGAGTCTCAAAGTGTTGGAAATGTGCCTTATGTAAGCGGTAAGTGTGTTGCTGAGTTAACCTCAGCTACTTCCTCACCGAGGCCTTCGATAGAGGATGTTGTGCTGAACCACTTTCATGAAATTATGTCCTAATTACCTTATCTCGATGTAAATTCCATTTTGAAAATCGAATTTTTCGATTTTGCGATGCTTTCTTCCACCTTCCACGTCCATGCCGCTTTGAAACTCGTCCCAATGTTTTCTTTTCTTTTTTTTAATGTAATTTAATAACGTCTTTATTTAAAGTCTTAATTGTCCTGCCTAGATTAGCATTATCGCTATTTGCAGACATAAAGTATTGAAACGTTATATTTCTTTAAATACTGAATTACATTATTGTTGTTGTTGTTGTTGACGAGTATAAACTGTGTGAAAGCTGAAGTGTGTGCTAATACACTGTACTTAAATTGAGCCTTAAAATCCCACAGCTACAACTAGATTACAACAAAGCTATTAAAAAAGCTTCGAAAAATGTTTTTAAACTTTGTGGAAACAAATAACGGAACTTGACGTTGTAAGTAACTTCGATTGCGCGCGCCAGAATCGCTTTCGATCCTTAGAAACAAGTAACCAAGGAAACAAAATCGTGCAAACAAATAACAGTTTTTTCAACTGGTTGAGTCTAGGAAGAGAAAATTTCACGACAACCAGATAAATTCAATCCGAAACAAATTAAAGAAGCTCTAACACTTTTGAATGAACAGTTGACGCAGTAGTTTGATGTATTAAAGGCAAAAGCAAAGTTAGTCTGGGAGTTTTCGTGCGTGCCCTGTATTTTTGCTACAAAGCTTACGCCACCAAGGAAAATAACGCGAAGAGGGCAGATGTGAAAATAACACAACTTTTACCTTCCTCGCTGACATTTCCTGAAGCAGTCGAAGTTCCTAACATTGTTTGGAGGAAAACTACGTAGATTAAAATTTTTTTCATTTTGTCAAGAATAACTTTTCTCTTTTCAAAGCGCAACACGAATAAACGTGTTTAGCGACGTGGAACGATAAAAAACCCGACGTCATAAAGACAAAATAGAACGTTCTCCTGCGCGCGTAAAGTTTATGGAACACTTCTTTATCCTCCCATATTTTGAATTACGTTGACATCAATTGAAACTGTTCATTTCGGTTAATAACAATGACGCGTGAAACGTTACTTCAAAGGCTACATAGACGATTTTTCTGGATTCGTCAAGAATATGGAAACTTCAGATTACCGGATTTGTTGTATCGTTGACATGCAGATCCCCGACGTGGGGCACTGCCTGACCTTATTTGGCCCTATAAGTGGGTTCGTACAGGGTTGCAAAATGAACGATTTTTGTCTTCAACCGGGGTCAAGGTTTGAAGGCGCGTCTCGGCGGCACACCTCTACCAAAACGTCCCTTGAGTACCTCACAGAACAGTGTCTCAATGGGGTGGTAGCTTTGATGATTGTCGGGTAATTTGTACCAATTTTGATGGGTGACGGTCAAATTTTGAAATAATAAATAAATAGATAAACAAATAATGATTTGGAGGTAGCACATCCACAAAGTGGTTCTTCGTCTGGCGTGATTCCTAGTCGAATTGGAATTTGGAAATGTTAGTTTTTGAGGAGAGGAGAAAACCGGAGTACTCAGAGAAAAACCTCCCGGAGCAAAGGAGAGAATCAACAACAAACTCAACCCACATATGGCGTCGACGGCGGGATTTCAACCCGGGCCACATTGGTAGGCGCTAGGAGGCGAGCACTCTCACCACTGCCCATCTCTTGATTCGCAAAACCAAAAACTTTTGAGGGTTGACGATTATTGAGAATCGTTATTGAGTCCAAAAGTTAAATTAAATATAAACTTCGTTATTGCCCCCGCAGGGATTTCACCCAGAAGGTGAAATCTCGAGGAGGCACTCTTAACTAGTAACTCGCGCATATATTAAGGAAAGTATTTAAGGTACACACCAGGCGACAAGTTGCAGCAACACGTCGCGGCGACAGATCACTCCATGTGAACAGGTCGGGCGACTAGTTTCAGCAACACGGTGAGGCCACACGTCGTAGCGACAAATAATATTGCTTCGTGTGTACTGGAGCATTTTGGGGAAAATCTTTGTCTCCGCAACGGAATTTTGCCTCTGCAACAAGTCGCAAAAAATCAAATCAAACTGAACACGCTGGGAAAAAAGGTGGTAAAAATCGGCCAAAAGATTGAGTGGAGGCGTGTTAGGCACAAACATTTTTGGAGTTCTTGGGGCTATAACTTCCTTTCCTTTAAAGGCATGACACTGAAATTAATACAGGCAACAATACTTGACTCCAGGAAAATTTTGGAATATGCGTTTTGTTGGTAAAGACTTACGTGACCCTCTGGTGGCCAATTAAAAGTCTTCCAACAGAATTAAACCTGAAAGTGTGATACTTTGCAGAAATATAGTGCCCATAAAATTGAAGAACTTGTCCGACTTGAAATCTCAAATTTCATTTTTGTGACGTCACAACTGATGACGAAACAAAATGGGCTTTTTGGTCATGCGCAGTACTAACCCAAAAAATGAAGAATTTGAAAGTACAAAGTGAGTCTCAACTCATTATCGTCTATAGTTAAAGAGATATTTGTAACATTCCACGCATATTTTTAAACAAACTTTGGAC